GTCTGATTTTGAAGGGTACCATTTCAAATTTGCTCCACTTGAGGTGGAAATGCACCATTTTTAATGTGAAAAACTATTTTGCCTTACCAGATGGGTTCAAGCTTAGCTGTAACAAGTTTAGAATACTTCCAGAATGATTGGAATAGCATCAAAACATTTACGGTAAAGTTGGGACAATATGTTTCAAGCAAAAAACAGCTCTTTCAAGCTCAAATTAGGTTAGTTTGAGATCCAAACATTTTAAATTTGAGGTATTTTGCATGCCCCTACATTTTCAGTAATAATGTTTAATACAGTGAGAGGTGGATTGAAAGATAAAGGTCCCAGTCTGCTAGAGCAGCAGTTTTCCCTAAGTATGATGCTGGAAAGGAGTTCTGGGAGTTCCATTCCAGCACATCTGGAGAGCATCAGGTTTGGGAATGTTTCACCTGGAATTTTTCCTAAATAAGGATGATTAAAATGAGCAGGAGCTTCATCCTTCATAGATGTTCAATGGACTAAGTCAAAAATATTGCAGATGATAATGTTACTCAACTGCAACCCTAGCCATTAATTGCATGTCACAAAACAAGACAATATTTATAGAGTAACTTTCTGCAGTACTAAATTTATCGGACAGGAAGCGTAGTTTTTTTTCTCCTAAATAATTTTTTTTCGTCGTTGTTCAGTTGTTAAGTCGTGTCCAACTCTTCATGACCCCATGAACCATATTGCGCCAGACCTTCCTGTCCTTCACTGCCTCCCTGAGTTTGCACAGTACATAATTTTTAGGAACATCTAAAAAAATTAGAGGAACATCTCAAGAACTTGTTAAAGGGAGCAAAATCTTTGTTGCATAACCTTCCAGGGTGAGAGGTGGAATTGACTTAAACCCAGGATCATCTTTAGTTCAGTTAAACATAGTATAGTATGTGTACAATAGAGCTCATTCACCCAACTCTCTGGATTATCATTTAATTCCCTCTCCTACTTTAGCTAGTCACCTTTGCTTCATACATATGCTTTATTCTCTGACAAAGTGGAAGTTGTGTTTTTTATTGTTATCTAAATAAATACTGAATTTGTGCCATTTCCAGAGAGATAACTGCATCAGCCTGTTGCTAAAAAAGCTACAGAGAATCTTGTTTTAGAAGTACAGAAAGCATCATGCCTAAACATTCTCTGGTTTACCAAGAAATATACTGTCCATGATACAGTATTTAGCCTTTAAAGAACAATAAGCTGTTTTGTTGATTTCCTACAGTTGTTTCTTTGTACACATCATAAAGTTTGAGGAGAATTTTATGAAGAGCTAATGAAGCCCTTGAGATGATGCATCAGTTGGGTTCCAAGTTTGTAAACAAATGGTGCATTACTCAACACATAGTGCAGAACATGGAATAGTATATTTAAGTTACAAAAGGGCAGATTTGGGCTGAATGTTAGGAAAAACATCCTAATAGTAAGAGCAAATTAACATTAGAATCAGTTATGAGGGAATTGTTGATCTCCCCTAAACAGGTGATGCAGACAATTTAATCATCTTGATGTGTAGGTGTTATGGCATTTATTTTTGCTTCTATGTTTTGGAAAATTGTATGCACAAAGTCTTCTTTGGTCAGAAGATAGACTTTCAAAGGAGAAACTGCTTTGGGAGGGAGTGGTCTCCTCTTTGTCAGAAGTTGTTAAGCAGAGTCTGAATGGCCACTTATTAGGGTTAGTATAAAAGTGGTTTGCCTGAATCAGAAAGAGGTCAGATTAGATGACTGTTGAAGTCTCTTTCCTTTCAAATTACTCCAAGTTCCACGTGGAGATTTGATTTTATGGTATTAAGATATATCATACATCATTGTCCTCAATGTGGATATATTCTGGATTGATAGACAAGTACACCTTTCAAACATGCACCTTACAAATAATATATAAATGGTTACAAACTATTTAACTCTTTTGACATAAAAGAAAAAAATGGAAGGAGTTATATATTTCTGTCCCAGTATTCAATATTGGGGACTTCATTTCTAATCCATTCCATCACCACACTGAATAAGAAATTATAGGTGCAGAAGATGTAAAAGCAAGAAACTAGAGGTGCTTTACATATTTAATAATCCCAATAGTAACCTCAGTGGTATTTTGCATATCCACACCTACCAGAAATAAGATGTAGTAGGAAAAGACTTGTGGACAATCAAGAAAGTGCTACAGCAACTGTCTGGCAAAACTGTCCTCTCAGTTCCTTATTAGAACAAACATAGGATGCAAAATACAAAGAAAACCAGTAGTGCAGTAAAACTTCTCTGTGCCTCTATGAGTAGTCATCCATGCACGTGCGCATACCCACTCAGATACATTTTGGTATCACATCTCCTCCATTGTCATACAGATGTTTTCTCTACAGCAAATAAGTTTAAGAAGAGGATAACACAGTACTTGACTGACCTAAAGTAAAAGAATTTAATCAGTAATGTATAACAGCAAATCGATTTATTATAGTTTCAGTTTTCTCCATGGTGTGTTAAAAGAGTTTCTTATAAATTTAATGCAGAGGACCTATGATCCTCCAGATGCAGCTGAATTAGAACTCTGAGCATCCCTCAACACCAGATGATGCTAGAGCATCATCGTGTGTGACATGATGTAGCTGCTCGTTTCCAGTAATGAGGATTGTCTCTTAACCCTCTGCATCTTTATAACTGATTATGAAACAGTGTAGACAAGTAAGGATGGCAGGAAGCCAGATCATATTTGCTTGCGCAAAAGCAGACAGACAAAACATGCAACTGTTACAACAACTACCAGCACATTAAAGCAAGTGGCTACATAAAAAACTTTCTTGTGGGAAGCCACAGTTTGACCTCTCTGTCCATGTGTGGGAAACCCACAATTAAGCAACGCAGATAATTCACGACGGCTTTTGGATGCCTTGTTTTGCTCTTTTCTCCTTCCTAGTAGAATATTTTAGGTTTTTAGTTACATCAGTTCTACATTTCTAATCAATATGTTTTACTATTTTCTTGTAGAAGAACAGATACTTTTTACTGAACAAAGCCAGTTTCATGCAGCAGGGTCTGCAGAGGGGGGCAGTGATAGACTCAAAATCAGGAGCGCAGATTTTGAGAAGGCTAGAAATATTAAAAAGGCCTCAAGTGCTCTTCTCTGATCTCATGGGCTATGCCTTGGGTGCAGAACTTTGTATTAGATGATTGAGCAAAATGTGAAGCATCATCATAATAACTACGACAATGGCGATGATGGGTGATACAAAATAAAATTAAGCCCCAGACTCCTTTCTTCTTGTCTGTAGAGTCAGGGGAGGTAACAGGTTGTATAGCTCAGTGTCACTTGGGACACTGCATGTTGGTTCCAAGGAAGTGGATAGGGTGGGCTATAGTCTGAATTCTGCCACACATGGGCTAGATTCTTGCCCACCCTAGCTTGCTTGCTTATTTATTTATTTATTTATTTATTTATTTATT